TAGCCGACGATTTCTTCCTTATTATTGACTCAAACACTTTATAAACGCATATTTGTGACCTTCTTACGTCGAAAGGAATCGATTGAGCTCAAAAATCACGCATGTAAAATTTTGATTTTTAGACGAAATTTTTCCATGGGTGGGGGTTGATTTTTTGCAAAAATAAAAATTTTCAACTTCAGTATTGCTGACTTATTATTAGCAGTGGCAACTCAGGAAGAAACAAATGGAAAGGTGTATAGTCTGAAGCAAACCCAACTCTCAAGATGTAAGCCACTCGAACTCGAAAAAACTCACGCTGTTACTTTCCGAAATCTTTTCTGCGGTTTTAGAGCGTCGAGCAAAAAATGTTTCTTGACGTTTCGCAACCACGAGCTCCTTGCATCTTCAGAGTTATGCTGCGGCGAGCAAACCATCCGGATTTTTCGGTGTTTTAACGCGCCAATTTTATTGATCAAAAGACATTTTATGGGTTTTCTTCCCAGTATTCCGGAGTTAATCAACTTTTAACTAATTTTACCCGCTTTTCTATCTGATATACGGCAGCACACTATGAATTCGCACTGGGTGGTCCAGAAAAACGCGCACAACCATTAAAATAATGAAAATTCCAGACAATCTATCTACCTGTTTCGAATGCAAGTAATAATCAACTAAGGCGAATTTATCGAATTGGCCAAATAGCGTTTTATCTTATCAATTATTGACACAAAGTACGCTAACCGACTTCTCATTCCAGTTTTTAGTTGTTGGTTTCCTTCAGTTTCGGTTAATTCTCATCAGCATGGGCATAAAACGCCAACATCGTTTATTGAGTTGTGCTTCAGTCGCGACGAACAAGCAAAAGGGAATTGAGGAAGAAAGTTGTGTTTGCCAACTTTCAAAGCCCAAACTATTAAAGTGCAAACAAAACTTTACCTAGAAACTGCCGGAAATAACAAAAGTTATGCCAATTCTTACCATGATAAAAATTATTTTCTGCTGTTTTAACGCGTTTCTAGAAACTGAGCAGAGCAAGCAACAGCACGCCGTATCAATAATAAATATCGGAGTCAACTGACTGAAAATTACCCCTCAAAGCCAATAACGACTTTGTTGTAAACTATCTCTTCGATTTAAATTCTTTACTAGCTGGGCTGAAGAAATAGGTCAACATTGACCTATTGGATGGTTTTCTGATGCCATTTTTACATTTTTAATGCGTAATTTCCTTTGATCAAAACTGGTTGGTGTTGGAAATTTTTCACGTTTATCTAGACTGGAAACAGTCAGAAACTCGACAACTTTTAACCCACATTAAACTTATTAATTTCCAATAAATGGTTTGTGCGCCGGACATTATTATGCATGAAAAATGATTATAAGATTATTGTATAAATAAATAATCGAGAGCGGTAAGGTAGCGCTTTACTGTCGCTCAAGAGCTGAAGCAATTTAACTGATCGATTAAATAGTTTGCTGTTTTTTCAGGTTCAGGGACATTCGTTGCCATTTTCAGGCAAATTGACAAATACAGGGTGGATTCATAGGAAAACCACAACGAAACAAATTAAGCACTTAAATCCAAATGGATGGGTAATGAAACGATTAAATCCTAAGAGGTTCCATTGACCCGCCAAACCATCCGGAAGATTTCCACTTAAATCAGAAATTTTACGGCCCATTATAAGTTTATTAAAAATCAATTTACTGTTTTGATCAACTGTGTAAATAAACCGGCATTGTTCTCAATTATTTTTTTGGTACCACTTTTATTAGGTTTATGGCTATGATGTCTCTATTACGACCCATGATGAATCGCCTATTGTATCTATAGCGGGACGATTATCTCGGCATGATTCAATGCAAATAAAACGATTTGTGAATTACGAGTTTAAACAGTACAGACAGGGTGAAGCAAAAACATTTTTGCTTCTTGAAGATATTAGTTTCTGAATAGAAGATGCACTTTTTTATAAGAAAAATAACTTGAGTTTAGCCAATTATCCTTCATTCCTCATGCCTCCAGAAGAATGACGGTAATTTTTAATCACCCTGTATATAATGGCAAAAGTGTCCATTAACAGACAGAGGAAATGTTTAAGCGATCTCAATAACAAAATAGTTCAGTTTTATTGCCAGGAACTCATAATTTTCTTCTACGGGATTTCAGTTGGAAAATCGAATAAAGTTGACTAGTTCTGATAACTAAATTTTCAAGAAATTCCAAATTGGCGAAAAATTTTATTTTTCTTTTTTTGTCCGGTTCAAATCTGAAATACGTTTGGCCACAAAGGCGTCAACTTGGAACATAGCATCCGGCATTTCACCTTGCTTTTCTCTCAGAATTCTATAAGTGCGAGTGAGACTACCGATGCCGGATACGTTCCTGAATGGAAGTTGTAGATTAATTACATCATCTATCAATCGATCTATGTGTTGGAGTCGAAAAAAACAAAAAGCGTAATAGATAGAAGTGTGATTTTTTGCCTCCACCTGAGGAAGAGCCTTATAAAGATGTTAGATGACTTTGGTTGCAATCCCGCTACTGACAGATTTTGGCGGAATTTTTAAAGTTTCAAATTCTGTTTTTTGTGCCTCAGCCCGGAGTTCAAAAATTTGTCGCCCCCAAACTAGAAGAGACATGAGCAAAAGTCTCGTTAAAATGCTTGACTACTTTGGCTTCAATTGGGCCACTAACAGATTTTGGAGGAATTTTCAAAGTTTCAAATTCTGTTTTTGTGCGTCAGCCCGGAGTTCAAAAATGTGTGGCCCCCAAATTGGAAGAGATAAAAGCGCTGTTTTTTGCCTCGAGATGAGCAAAAGTCTCGTTAAAATGCTTGACT